GAATGAGCCTTGCCCATAATATTGTAGTCAGATGCCCTTATTTCCGCATGCCCCCCTTTCCCCGTGCGGCTAGACATGGGGGACATAGCTGAAAGGAGACTAGGACGGTGAAATCTACGAATTTCTGTTAGGTTTTGCTTAACCGTGTACCATGTGTGACTGTGAGAGTGTGAGCCATTTGATATTCCAGGTGTGACTCTGAGCAGGTAGGCATATGATTGGTATGAAAAAGTATATAGTTGTCTAGATCATAGGTTTGTGCCGAAGAATGTTGAGTGTTGTGTTATGTAGTTCATCCACTCCCTCGTGTCCCGAAATCCCGAGGGTTCCTGACAAACGCCGAGGGTTCCCGATAATTCCCAAAGACCCCCAAAAACTTCCGGGGACTTTCAAGTTCATTTTGAAACCCTGAGGAATACGGAGGCACCCTGAGAATTACGAAAGAATCCTGAGGACTCCTGCGGATTCCTGTGGCCCACACCTGCACGGTGGCAAACGAGGAGGAGGAAAGGAGGAGGGGATTCCTGAAGGTTTGTGCGGTGTCCTGAGAATTCTTGAGGGTCTTTTGTGATCCCTCAGGGCTCTTGAGGCTTCATGAGTCGCCAGGGTGCCTGGCAATGCCTCAGGATTCCCAATGATTTCTTGGGATCAACGAAGTTTCCTGATGATTCCAAGGAGCCCGCCAAACTCGGCTCTCACCATTCCGCAAATCCGTTGGGCCTCCCCGGGTCCCGAAAGTGGCGACAGTTGAACAGTTCGCAGTCTCCCCTGCACTTCCTCCTCCTCCTCCGCTTCCTCCTCCTGGAGCCCTGAGGGGTGTCTAGAAGTATCTTGGGCTGTCTCTGAGGTCATCTTGGACTGTTGAGGACCCTTTCGGACCCATCACGGGCCCTCTTCGACGCTCGAGCCTTGCGCCCGCCGCTCCCTGTCCAGACTCGGGGGGGAGGGGATCTGGAATTCCTCAGGATTCATATTGAACCCCTTCGGACTCCTGTGGGAGTCCTCAAGATTCCCGTGGAATCCCTTCGGATTCCTGTAGAATTCCTGCGGATTCCTGAGGGATTCCTTCGGACCCCCGTGGAGCCGACGGGCGCATGCCTGGACGCCTCTGGCGTTCGCTCCATCCGTTCCGGCGAGTCCGCGCTGGCCTTCCGCCGCCAGAGGCGGCCTCGTTTTCATTCCGCCAGCTTCCGCCGCCACTCCGCCGCCCTCCGCCGAGGAAGAGAGGGCAACTCCTGCGATCCTCGAAGGCGGGACCCTGTCTTGACTACCTACCAAACCACCCCAACCCAACCCGAAGACCCGAATTTGACCCGAATTTCGGGTTGGGAGGGGTACGGGTTCCATGTGTTTTTTCGACGTTCCCCGACCCCCCCCCACTGGAAATCGAGGGTAAATCTGATCCTTCGGGTTGGGTTGGGGTGGTCTGGTAGGTGGTGATGTCTGGAACGCCTCACCTGTGGCCACAGTGTGTATCCAGCTCTCGCCCAGGCCGGCCACGTCATGCGTGTCCAGCTTCCTGGTACGCCTCTGCCGCCACACCGGATCTCCGTGAAGAGGAGGGCCCGCCTCCCGCCTCCCATCCCCGAGGCTCCGAGAGGCAGGCGAGGTGTCGGCAGGCAGCGCGGCAGGTGGCGGCGCGCAGCGGGCGGGAAGGAGAGCACGGAAAAGGAGGCGCATTTGGAGCATTGGCGCAGCACGACGTGCAGAGGCGGGAAGGAGGGAGGGGCAAGATTTAGGTCGGGCGTGTCCCCCTGCAGGCGGACTTTGCACGAACAAATAAAAAATGGTAAACCAAAACAGATAGTTTCAAACAAATTGTCAAAAATGCTCAACCATCGTCCCTGATTATGTTTTGACTATTCTTGAATAGTACTCCTGTAGCGGGACGTGCCAGACTTAATACCATATCGATTCGTCAGGAGGAAGCGCCAAGCCCCGCAGGCGCCGCCTGGGGCCCCAGAAATGATGGCAGTATCTGTATCCCGCCCTGCCCAGCGACCAAAACCGCCCAGGCCCGAACCATCCACCCTGAAAAAGACACGGAGGTAGGAGGAGGAGGAGGAGGAGGAGGAGGAGGAGGAGGAGGAGGAGGAGGAGGGGGAGGAGGGGAAGGAGGAGGAGGAGGAGGAGGAGGAGGAGAGGAGGAGGAGGAGGAGGAGGAGGAGGAGGAGAGGAGGAGGAGGGGGAGGAGGAGGAGAATAGAGGAGGAGGATGGGGGAGGAGGGGGAGGGGGAGGAGGATGGGGGAGGAGGAGGAGGAGGAGGAGGAGGAGGAGGAGGAGGAGGAGGAGGGACCGCGGGGCCTCGGGCGCGGCAGGTTCGCGCCGTGACGGCCTGCGCGCGTCTGCGTCCCCCGTGGGCGGAAAGCACCGAGCAGCATGAGGATCCGAATCCATGCTACGAGGCGCCTCCCCCCAGGAGAGCCCAGAATCGAATCGATGAGTTGGACCGGCGATCGACACGAATCGGATCGGCGAGATCGGCAGCCAAGTCGGAAAAAATCGAACCCGCGGAACTCGGCAGGCTTGAATGCGTCCAATGAGAGATCGGAACCCGAGTCGGAATCCCAAGTCGAACCGAATCGGAATCGGCATCCATCGAAATCGGATCGCATCGAGCCGGGGGAATCGGAATGAGCCCTGCTCCTCTGTGCAATAGCCACCTCTCGCTCGCACCAGAGGTGTGGAGCTGAAAGTCGTGGTTGCTGGCTTCGCAGGTGGCTGCCGAGCGGGGGGGGAGGGAGCACCTCTCCAGGGGAGCGTGACGGGACCCTCCTTCTCCTCCTCCTCCTCCTCCGCCTCCTCCTCCTCCGCCTCCTCTTCCTGGTTCTCCTTCTCCTTCTCCTCCTCCTCCTCCTCCTCCTCCTCCTCCTCCTCCTCCTCCTCCTCCTCCTCCTCCTCCTCCTCCTCCTCCCCCTCCACTTCCTCTGCTTCCTCCTCCTCCTGCTCCTCCTCCTCCTCCTCCTCTTCCTCCTCCCCCTCGGCGACGTCGTCGGCGTCGTCATCATAATCAGCAGCATCAGCATCAGCATCATCAGCTTCATCGCCATCACCAGCATCATCATCATCATCATCATCATCATCATCATCATCAGCATCATCGTCATCCTCAACAGCATCAGCAACAGCATCAGCATCATACTCACCATCATAATCGTACTAACCATCAACAACAACAGCATCAGTGTCAGCATCATCATCAAAAGCCTCATCATCATCATCAACAACAACGTCATAATCATCAGCATCAGCATCATCAATCTCATCATCATCATCATCATCATCATCATGCTCATGCTCATCTTCCTTATCATCATCATTATCACCACCACTGCCATCATCATCATCATCATCATCAGTATCATCATCATCACCAAAATCATCAGTAACACCATCAGCAGCAGCATCATCAGCATCATCATCAGCGTCAGCATCATCTACATCAGTGGCATCGTCATCATGAGTATCGTCATCATCAGCATAATCAGTATCATCATCATCACCAGCAGCTTCAACATCATCACCATCATCATCATCATCACCAGCATCAATATCATCTGCATCAGCATCAACGGTATTATCATCAGCGGCATCGTCATCATCATCATCACCACCATCATCATCATCATCATCATCATCATCATCATCATCATCACCATCGTCATCAGTATCATCCTCCCCCTCGTCGTCGCAATCGCCTTCGTCGTCGCCGTAACCGTAAAAGTCGCCGTCGCCGTCGCCGCCGCCGAAGCCGCCATCATCGTCATCGTCATCGTCATCGTCATCATCATCGTCATCATCGTCGTCGTCGTGGTAATCGTCATCGTCATCGTCATCGTCATCGTCATCGTCATCACCACCACCACCACCACCATCATCATCATCATCATCATCATCATCATCATCATCATCAGCAGCAGCATCATCATGATCATCAGGCCCCCTCCTCCACACCTCTTCCAAATCCGCCACCGTGCCGCAGGTACCCGCTCCCACTCCTCACCCTTCCCATCCACCTCCTAGTCCTTCATCCTCCTCCCACTCCTCCCAACCTCCTTGGCCCCCTCTCCATCCTGGCGCCCGCCTTCGCTTCTTCCTCCTCCAACTACTCTGCTTCATCCTCCTCCTCCTGCTCATTCCTCCGCCGCAAGTACCCGCTGCCCCCATCACCCGGGATGGACAGAAAAACAAAACGTGGTTTAGTGAAAACGACCTCGGGCGGGCCCAAACCTGGCGGGCGCAAGCCTGGAAAATGATGGCCGCGGAGCCCTCTCGAGAACCGAAAACGGACAATTCACTAATCGACGTGTCAGGGTGGGGCTTCTGTCCACCCCCGATTTGAGAGGAACACATAACGGCGTGCACACAAACTTGGGGAGGTCCGCTCGGATTCCGATCAGCGCTGGACATTCCTGCCTGGCGCGCGGAGCGCGCCAGGACAGGCGCCAGAAACGCCGCCACCAGGGCCCAGCGCCGATCCGAGAAATCCTCACGGAGCTCCGAAAGTTTATGTTCATGCCACGTTCTGTCTTTCTACCTCCTCCCCATCCTCCTCCTCCTCCTCCTCCTCCTCCTTCTTCATCCTCCTCCTTCTCCTCCTCCTCCTTCCTCCTCCTCCTCCGCCTCCTCCGCCTCCCTCCCACCCCCCCTCCCCCTCCCCCTCCCCCTCCTACTCCTCTCCTCCTCCTCCTCCTCCTCCTCCTCCTCCTCCTCCTCCCTCCTCCTCCTCCTCCTCCTCCTCCTCCTCCTCCTCCTCCTCCTCCTCCTCCTCCTCCTCCTCCTCCTCCTCCTCCTCCTCCTCCTCCTCCCCTCTCCCTCCCCCCTCCCCCTCCCCCTCCCCCCCCCACCTCCCCCTCCCCCCCCTCCCCCTCCCCCTTCCCCTCCTCCTCCTCCTCCTTCTCCTCCTCCTCCTTGTCCTTCTCCTCCTCCTTTTCCTTCTCCTCCTCCCCTACCTCCTTCCTGCCGACCTCCTTGCACCTCGCCCTCCCGGCGCCGGCTCCCTCTGGGCGGGGCCGCCACGCACACCGTCAGCTGCAGGCGCGGGAGCATCTCCCGGACCTGCCTCACCGCGTCTATGCAGCTGGCGCAGAGAGGCTTCCTCGGGAACCGAGGAGGGCGTCGAAGGAAGGGAGGAAGGAAGAGAGGAGGGAGGGAGGAGGGAGAAGGGAGGAGGAGGGGGAAGGGAGAAGGGAGAAGGGAGAAGGGAGAGGGGAGGAGGGAGAAGGGAGGAGTGAGAAGGGAGGAGGGGGGGACCTGCCTCACCGCGTCTATGCAGCTGGCGCAGAGAGGCTTCCTCGGGAACCGAGGAGGGCGTCGAAGGAAGGGAGGAAGGAAGAGAGGAGGGAGGGAGGAGGGAGAAGGGAGGAGGAGGGGGAAGGGAGAAGGGAGAAGGGAGAAGGGAGAGGGGAGGAGGGAGAAGGGAGGAGTGAGAAGGGAGGAGGGGGGGCGCGGCGGGGGAAGGGAGGGAGAGAGGAGGGAGGGAGGGAGGGAGGAGGGAGGAGGGATCACTAGAGGTCTGGACCCCGTCCCTGGGGCCGGCTGTTCATCCAGCGGGGCTCGCTGAGGGCCCGGGGAGGCCGAAGACTGTCAACGAGACCATCCGCCAGAACTGTTGGCACAAAAACAGGCCGCCAGGGGAGGACCCCCGACGTCGTGATTTTTCATGACGTCGACCCCCCAAGCGCTCGACCCATCCCCCACGACCAGTGTCTCATCCTGAGTCGCTTCTTGACGGCCCCTAGCCCCGTGGGACCCCCCAGAGGCCGAAAATTGCGAAAAACCTCCCGTCGGGAGGAGGCAGGGAGGAAGGAGCAGAGGCGTCTCCCGTCCTCCCTCCATGGGGGGGGGGGAAGTCGGGAGCCCCAGCGAGCAGGGGCCCGCGGCGGCCGACAGCGGCCGTCCGAGCGCGGCACCACGGGCGCGATCGCAGCCATCGCTGGCCCAGGGCCCTCCCCCCCCCCCTGATATCCTCTCTTCCCAGGACCCAGAGATCCAACGCATTGAAAAAATCAAGACGGAGGGTTTTCGCCGTGCTCGGCCTCTAGAGGCCCTCGCCTGGCCGCGGGACCGTCAAAGAACGATTCAGGATGGAAAAGCGGTCCCTGGGAATGGGTCGAGACTTCCAGGAGGGCCGTATTGAAGAAATCACGACGTCGGATCTCTGGGGACCTCACTGCACCGACCTGACAGACGTGCTGCAGCGGATTCTTGCGTGGATTGCTGTCAATGCAAAGCCCCGAAGCGGCGAGCGAAGAAAAATTACCCTGCCGACGTACTGAACCCCTGCGCAATGCGGGGCATGAGTAGCTTGGGAGTCGTTATACGGAGGTGATGGCGTGACATGGGCGCATATACTTCTGCGAGCGGCATTCGTGAGGCTCGCAGCCCCACATGGATTGCCATGTCCCGCTCAGATATGCCTGGTGCCTCGCTCCGCTGGACCCACCAGCAGCCCTCGAAAGTAGCAGCAGTTTCGCAGATCGCAGCCCCCCAAGGACGGTGAGGTCCCGCTCAGGTCCGCGCGGTGCTTTACTCCGCAGGACCCACCAGCAGCCCTCGAAAGTGGCGACAGCTTCGCAGATCGCAGCCCCCCAGGGACGGCGAGGTCCCGCTCAGGTCCGCGCGGTGCCTCACTCCGCAGGACCCACCAGCAGCCCTCGAAAGTGGCGACAGTTTCGCAGATCGCAGCCCCCCAGGGATGGCGAGGTCCCGCTCAGGTCCGCGCGGTGCCTCACTCCGCAGGACCCACCAGCAGCCCTCGAAAGTGGCGACAATTTCGCAGATCGCAGCCCCCAGCGACGGCGAGGTCCCGCTCAGGTCCGCGCGGTGCCTCACTCCGCATGACCCACCAGCAGGCCTCGAAAGTGGCGACAGTTTCACATATCGCAGCCCCCCAGGGATGGCGAGGTCCTGTTTGGATCCGCAGTGACTACCCTCTCTGCTGGCATCCCCAGCAGTCCTCGAAAGTGGCGACAGCTTCACAGATCGCAGCCACCAGGGATGGCGAGGTCCTGTTTGGATCCGCGGTGAGTACCCTCTCTGCTGGCCTCCCCAGCAGCCCTCGAAAGTGGCTACTATTTCACACATCACAGCCCCCCAGGGATGGCGAGGTCCTGTTTGGATCCGCGGTGAGTACCTTCTCTGCTGGCCTCCCCAGCAGCCCTCGAAAGTGGCTACAATCTCACACATCGCAGCCCCCAGGGATGGCGAGGTCCTGTTTGGATCCGCGGTGAGTACCCTCTCTGCTGGCCTCCCCAGCAGGCCTCGAAAGTGGCGACAGTTTCACAGATCGCAGCCCCCCAGGGATGGCGAGGTCCCGTTTGGATCCGCGGTGAGTGCCCTCTCTGCTGACCTCCCCAGCAGCCCCCGAAAGTGGCTACAATTTCACAGATCGCAGCCCCCCAGGGATGGCGAGGTCCTGTTTGGATCCGCGGTGAGTGCCCTCTCTGCTGGCATCCCCAGCAGTCCTCGAACGTGGCGACAATTTCACAGATCGCAGCCCCCCAGGGATGGCGAGGTCCTGCTTGGATCCGCGATGAGTACCCTCTCTGCTGGCCTCCCCAGCAGCCCATCGAAAGTGGCGACAGTTTCACAGGTCGCAGCCCCCCAGGGATGGCGAGGTCCTGTTTGGATCCGCGGTGAGTGCCCTCTCTGCTGGCCTCCCCAGCAGCCCATCGAAAGTGGCAACAATTTCACAGATCGCAGCCCTCCAGGGATGGCGAGGTCCTGTTTGGATCCGCGGTGAGTGCCCTCTCTGCTGGCCTCCCCAGCAGCCCTCGAAAGTGGCGACAGTTTCACAGGTCGCAGCCCCCCAGGGACGGCGAGGTCCTGGTTGGATCCGCGGTGAGTACCCTCTCTGCTGGCCTCCCCAGCAGCCCTCGAAAGTGGCTACAATTTTACACATCGCAGCCCCCCAGGGATGGCGAGGTCCTGTTTGGATCGGCGGTGTACAGCAGACTCCTGGTCTTGTTATGCCCATGTGGCTTTTTCAAGCATCATCCCCACATCATTGTCTGATGGCAGCCGCGGCCTCCGGATGTTTGAGCACTGCATGCTCATGCATGTGCCGCTGGGGAAAACACTCAGGAGGAAGAAAATTGAGCAATGACAGCTTGAGCCTCAGAAAGACGACCAGGGCCACTTGCCGGCCTCAGAAAGAGTTCGTCGTGTGTTGGCGTCCATTTGACGCTTTGCAGGTTTCTCACTTTCCCATCTCCGGCAACGTCGACCCCTTCTTTCCGCAACTGCTCCCCTTGCCCCGGGAGATGCCGCTCAAGCGTCAGCCCGTTCGAGTCGACGAGTCTGTAAAGACCCGCGCGTCTATGTCCCTTCGTCGTGGTCGCCGTGCTCCTCTTGCCGCTGCTCTCGGTCTTGCTGCTGCCATCGGTTTCGGCGAAGGCCCTCTTTAGCACTGCTGGGAGCGCGCGGGCGTAGCCGGTTGGAGCGCCGATGTATCGGGGATGGACAGACCCCCCTTTAGTAAAACGTGGTTTAATGAAAACGACCTGAGGCCCAAACCTGGTGGGCGCAAGCCTGGAAAATAACGGCCACGGCGCCCTCTCGAGAACCGAAAACGGACGATTCACTAATCGACGTGTCACTGTTGGGGGTTCTGTCCACCCCCGAATGTAGTGCAGCAGGTCTCTGATTGTGACCACACGTCCGGCCGGCACTCTGTCGGCCGACGACAGGAGCCCAAGCACCCGCCCCCTCACATCGTTGGGCAGCGGCTCGAAGACTGGGCCTCCGAGGGTCGTCCTCGCCAGAGCTTCCTGAACCTGATCCAGATGCGGCACTTCCTCATCGTTATCCTTATCCTTCTCTAGTCTTCCCATCAAGAAAACGGCGTCGCCCGCCCGCACGGTGCCCCCGCTCACGCATGTCGCCAAAACCCCGCGATGCCCGTTCAACTGCCCCACGGTCGGAAGTGGCGGCTGCTCACGTTTTTTCCGCGCCTCGGGCAACAGGTCCAGCACGAAGCCGCACGGCTCGCAGTGAAATGAGAGGCGGAAACAACAACTCTTGCCGACACGCAGCACAAAACCACTCCGCGCGATAGCGTGGAATACACTGGCAGATGAACTGGGGTTCGCGACCTTCTGGCCTACATCCCCGAGCATCTCGATGCAAATGTTTTCGCGAAGATCACCCGCGGCGAAAGCAAACTTCTCGAGATCGGGCGTGCTGGAAAAGAGAACTTGTCGCGGTGACAAGGAGGTCAGCGGCTGCAGGAGAAGGGGATCACCATGACTATCCACTACATTTTTAGCGGCCCCCGCAGCACCCGCGGCCCCGAACACTTTGCCAACGACGCGTTTGAGTAGACCCGACGCCGCATTGTACATGCTATCAGGCGGTGTATGTTGCAGCTCTTCCCGCTGCAGGGCTCCTTCCGGCAGAGGGCCCTCACTTCTTGACGAAGAACATGCTCCAGCAGCGGCATGCACAGCAGCCACCTTGCGCCGCTTACTTTCCAGCTGACGCGCCTCTTGGTCAGGGTCTTCATCTTGTTCATCTTCCGGACGAAACATGCGTCCGGTCCGCGCCTCAAATCCGAGTGCGTCTATCGGAGACATGGGCTTTCCCTTGGCGGGCTTGAGGAACAAACTTTTGACCGTGCCAATCTGCCGCTCGGTAAGACGCATATCTGGAATAAAATCATGCAATTCGACCGGCCGCTTGTTGCTCGAGCTCGATACAAAAGGAGCCGCGGAGCAAGCGCTGCACGCTACGGACGAGGATGATGAGGATGCGCTTTCTAAGGTGAAGCGGATGCGCTCTCTAAGGTGAAGCGGATGCGCTTTCTAAGGTGAAGTGGATGCGCTTTCTAAGGTGAAGTGGCTGCGCTTTTGAAGGTGAAGCGGGTGCGCTTTCTAAGGTGAAGTGGATGCGCTTTCTCAGGTGAAGTGGATGCGCTTTCTAAGGTGAAGTGGATGCGCTTTCTAAGGTGAGGTAGATGCGCTTTCTAAGGTGAAGTGGGTGCGCTTTCTAAGGTGAAGTGGTTGCGCTTTTGAAGGTGAAATGGGTGCGCTTTCTAAGGTGAAGTGGATGCGCTTTCTAAGGTGAAGTGGATGCGCTTTCTAAGGTGAAGCGGATGCG